CGACTGATCAAGTGGCAGTCTCTTGCAGCTGAATAGAGGCAACAAATCAGCCATGTTACTAACAGATGTTTTATTGTCTGCTGCCACCGGGAATACTTCGTCCAGATTTCCCCTCCACGGCACAGTTAGGTTCCATAAGCTGACAATTTAAGGAATGTTTGCAGTTTAACCTCTGTGTAGCTCTGGCTTGCTTTTCGAAGCATATTGTTACCTGTAGCTCTAGTGCGCAGGGGGTTAACGGAAGAGGCTTACCGTGAAATGCACAATTCTCAGTTGGTTCAGAAATAAATCCCTTTTGTTATTTATACTATTAGGACTGTGCTCCAGCAAACACAATGGAAATTAGACTTTTTTTAAAACTGGAAATAGGTCAGCCTTGGATTTTTTTTTAGTAAACACTTGAAAAGATGGGTAATTAGTGATCTGATGGCATTGCAAAAATTATTCACATTAAAGGTTCTATGCTGGGGAACGAACAGTTATCTTGTTATCTTTCTTTTTTTTCCCAGTACAAAATCCATACCTTCCATGTGTCCCTATTTAGAAGTGGCAGTCCTTATATTTGGACCAGAATATCTCTGCCCTTGTTTATACTACTGTTCTTCTATTCCAGGAGCTTCGTAATGTGTCTGAGTGTAGTAAAGTAATATATCTCAAGGTAATGTATCCCTAAATTACAACAAATTTGTTTAAAAATCAGTGTAAATAAGACCTGTTCAACTTATTCTAAATTACATTTTTATAATGATTTTTGGGAGGTCATGAAGTCTACTAAAAAAATCTGGAACGGTACATTTCATTAGAGTATACACTCAGTATCAAATTACTTTTTAAACTTAATGTATAAATATAAATTTAAAATCTTAGGTACAAAATAAAATACAAATTTTCATGTCCCCTAACAGTCCCAATTTTGTCAGGACAGTCCCGATTTTCCTGCCCTGTTCCGACGTCCTGACTTTGTTCCAAAAAAGTGTAGTGCAAGTGCATTATTAGACACGCACATACTACACTCAGCACACGAGGGCAATGCAGAGAGCGCTGAAACAGTACTCCCTGTAAGTCCTGCCCATAGTGGGCAGGCCCGCTATATTGGCAGACAGCCTGGCATGCATTACCACCAGGTTGCCTGCCAATAAATTTGGGTGGACCTGCCCTCTTTCTGGGTGGGTCAGCCCCTTTGCGTCACTGGCCATCTCCTTTGCCACCCTCCCAGTGTCCTGCTTCTTGTGACAAAATTAAACTCACAATGCTTGTAGAGACTTAAAGGGACACTCCACTGCCCAAATGCAAACCAATCTATCACTATTTATATACCCCCCAATTAAATTATGCATATTTTATAGTACTTAGTGAATAACCCCACCAGTTTACATTTTCATTATAAAAAATATATGTATTGGCATTTATTTACTAAACAGAAAATTTTAGAGAATTATTCAGATTTATTTTTTTTAACCAGGAAGAATACAATATTTCCTTTTTTCCCCAAGTATTTTATGGGATGAATGAATTGCAAATACTAGACAAAAATAGCTGAATTTGAAAAATAATCTCTAGCTGATCAATAGTTGGCCGAAAACGTACAAATTTTGAGTCACTTTGCAACAATTTTCAGTTTCGTGAATACGCATCAAATTGACATGCAAATGTCGCAATTTACAGTTTTCTAAATTTGGGGTTATTTATGGAATATTTTCATTAAATAACAATTTTGTTTTACCTGTGGGAATTGACACATTTAATAACTAGCTATTAATAAGCCTCACACAATCAAAGTAATGCGCCCTTTCACTAATTGAATATTTTATTGCAAATAATGGGCCTAATGAAGATATATTGTTTACATGATTCCAATGCAATCATTTTGGGTTATTATTATGATTATTAAATATGTTTTTAAATATAAAACTTAGAATCATTATTTTTCAAAATCACTAATTATATATATGTATTTCACATTTTTTTTCTTATTCTTATTTCTAATTCGAAATAATCCTAATCAAAATATTTTACCATGATAAACACATTGTGCTTTCCTCTTGCGTTGAGATATGTTCTGGAATTTTTATCATCATCATCATCCAACTCAGTGGTACTCGTTTTATCAACAATGGAAGTACTGAGGCCTGAGGTGACCTATTTTAAATGTAACCTGTCACCCTCAGGCTTGAACATCGCCTGCAGGTGGTAGATTAATCATTAATCATTGGAGCTATCTTACCACCTATGTGGTATTTTTCTTTTTTTTGTCAGCATGCATCATAATGCAAAACAAAAATAGATATGGAACCTCTTCAAAATGAAAAATAAAGCCAAAGAGGCTTGGTGTGGATTTTACATAGATTGGATTAATTAACAATGGTTATTGAGGTTAAAAGGTCACTTAATTGAGTTGCCTTAGTGTATAGATCATGTTCATACAGTTAAACTGTTCAATTTTCTGGCATTTAGTGGTTAAATCTTTATGTTTATGCAGCTCAACTCTAGCCACACCTCCCCTGTATGTGACCCACACAGTTGTCCTACACATTTCCTGTAAAGAGAGCTCTAATTTTTAAACTTCCTTTATTGCACAGTATGTTTAATTTAAAATGTATCTCCTGCTCTGTTAATAGCCTGCTAGGTTAGTTAACCAAGCAGGAGATACACACTGTGCTGTCACATCTGACTGAATTTTTTTTTTTTTTAATGCACTTTGTGTGAGTCACAGTCAGGGCAAACTTAAATAAAAGTTGTTTAACTCCTACATGGCACAGAATTGAGCAGTGAGACTGTAGGTATGTAAGATATACAATAAAAGTGTATCCTGAACTTACATTTAGTTTTTTGGTGCTTAGAGTATCCCCTCATGTCAGTTAGTATTGATTTAACACATTCTGTTCCAAAATATATGTGACAAGCTCGAAATGTTTATGTGCCACTTAATCTGAGCTGAGTCAATGTTTCATTAAAAAAATCAATGAGAGTCAGCAAAGGGTTCCCTCTTTAAAGTAACAATTTAAGCTACATAACTAGTACATCTCTAGTGTCCTTTGTATACACAAAAATAGCTAGGGGCTGTTTGACATAACATTGAGGCCCATATTGGCTGAATTGATTATCCAGAGATGAGTGGACACTCTAAGTACCATAACCACTTAATATAATTAAAATGGTTATGGTGCCTGCTCATGGTGCCATCCCATGGTTTAGTGTGAAACTCTTTTTGATTGGCTTAGCACCCAATGAATCCTTGGGCACCTGTGCACTGCCCTTCACCTGAAATATGAATTAGGTAGAGTGTTACTCTACATTATCCATACAGATTACATACCAATCAATACCAAGTATAGGTGGCAGTGATAGGCTGAGAGTGCTCAGCTAACTCTCTCTCTCTTTGCCAATCACTGCTGCTTACAACTGCTTTGGCTATAATGGAAGCATTTGCTTCAACAGCAGAGAGGGATTGGGCTGCAAGCAAGTGGAGATCCTCATTCAGTGGGACACTCCATTGTCACAAAATGCAATAAAAAACACACTGTTTTGTAGATATACCCTTAGTAAAAAAAAACCATGCAGGCATTTATTCATGTATTTTTCTCATTTTGGGTATAT